CTATTTATTATTCTTTATTTTATATGGATGTTTTGCCTACGTGTATGTAACCACATACGTGCAGTGTCTGCAGCGGGCAGAAGAGGGTGTTGGATCCCTTGTAAATGGAGTTATGAATGGTTGTTAGCTGCCATGTGGGTGCTGGGAAGCAAACCCAGGTCTTCTGCAAGAGCAGCCAGTGCTCTTAACTGCTGAACCATCTCTCAGCCCCCTGAATCTTGTTCTGCATGTAGAATGGAATTCTACCTACTTGGTTGGGACATGAGCACACCTTAGCTTTGCCTGATAATTACAAAAGGGTGGATAGTTCATCTGCTTCTAGATAGGTGAAACAGACCATTCTGGAACTGGAATTGTCATTCACATTAGTTTATATTTATATTTTGTATTGTATGTGTGTGTAGCACACATGTGCTATGGTGATGTGTGGCGGTCAGAGGATAACTTGCAGGAGTCAGTTCTCTCCTTCCACCATGTGGGTTGCAGGGATTGAACTCAGGTTGTCAGGCTTAGTGGCAAGCACCAATGAGTTATTTTACTGGCCTCATCACTCTAGTATTTATTTTTGAGTAGCTCCTGAGTTGTGAAATTAATAAAGTAGGCACGGGATTAAGTAAGCACTGTTGTGTTTGCTAGCAAGAGGCATTGTATAAATATACTATTCTTTAAAAAAATATATTATTGCTGGGCGTGGTGGCTCGCTCCTTTAATCCCAGCACTCGGGAGGCAGAGGCAGGCGGATCTTTGTGAGTTCAAGGCCAGCCTGGTTTACATAGTGAGTTCCAGGACAGCTGGTGCTACAGGGAGACCCTGTTTCAAAAAGACTACAAAATTAAATAAAAAAATAAAAGCCTTAACCTTGGGCCGGGCATGGTGGCACACACCTTTAATCCCAGCACTTGGGCGGCAGAGGCAGGCGGATCTCTGTGAGTTCAAGGGGAGGTCAGAAGAGGGCATCGGATCCCCTGGAACTGGAGTTACAGACAATTGTTAGCTGCTATGTGGGTGCTGGGAACTGAACTCAGGTCCTCTACAAGAGCAGCTAGTGCTCTTAACCACTGACCCATCTCTCCAGCCCTAAATACACTATTTTTGTTGTGTAGCTGAGACATCAAATTCTTGATCTTCTTGGCTTGCCCTTCTGGGTGTTAAGATTACTACTGTGTGCTATCATGCCTGGCATACAGTGTCCAAATTTTCTCTGTTTTTCTTTGCTCACGTTTGTAATTTGGTTTGAGTTTTCATAACCTTTATTACTTGTTACTGCTTTTAAACTTGTGGATATGCTGTCTAGGGAAAGAACTGAGAGTTTATCCCTTTTTGCTTAGAGTTCTTTATTCACTAGTTCCTTCTGTTGGTGATGATGTTATATTTTCTTGCCAGGTGTGATGACATGTGCTTTTAATCCCTGCCGAGGCAGGCGGATCTCTGTGAGATCAAGGCCAGCCTGGTCTCCATAGGGATGGCAGGCCAACTAGGGCTACACCTAGTCTCAAAAAGACAAAAATAAATAAATAAATAAATAAATAAATATATAAATAAATAAATAAATAATAACAAAAATGCTATTGAGTTTTGTCTATCACTAATTGATATTTTCTTGTACTGTTATATTAACAAAAAGTTCATTTTTATTTTCTTTTATAATTTGAATAAAAACATGTTTAGATTGTATTTTAGAAGTCTAGAAACATGTGCAACAGTTTGACTGACATTTCTTTTTCTTATTTTAAAAAGTATTTATTATTTTTATGTGTATGCGTGTATTGCCTGCATGTAGGTGGTAAGTGCACCAGTGTCCTGCAATGCCCGTGGAGGACAGAGAGGCTGTCGGATCCCCTGGAACCACAGTTACAGACAATTGTTACCTGCCATGTGGGTGCTGGGATTCAAACCCAGGTCTTCTGCAAGAACAACCAGTGTTCTTAACTGCTAAGCCATCTCCTCAGCCCCATTAACTGGCATTTCTATTCCACCCCAGTCCCTACAGTCTGCCTATAGTCCTTTTATTTGCTTTTTAAAAAGTTTATTTAAGCTGGGTGTGGTGGCGCACGCCTTTAATCCCAGCACTTGGGAGGCATAGGCAGGTGGATTCTGTGAGTTCAAGGCCAGCTTGATCTACACCGTGAGTTCCAGGCCAGCTGGGGCTACAGGGAAACCCTGTCTCAAAAAGACCAAAAGAACAAAACCCCCCAAAAGTTTAAGAAAAGAAATTTGAGATGAGCAGTTTCACTGTGTTCCCTAGGCTGGCCTTGAATTTGTGATCCTCTTGCCTCAGCCTCCCAGGAAGCTGGGATTGCATGCAGCACCACTCCCTGCCCAGCAGTCCTTTTGGAATGTACATTATGCCTCTACTCTCCTGCTCTCAACCATTCATGTTCATTCAATCATATGGCTCCACATCAGACTCGGAAGACCCAATCCTCACTGTAAGTCCACAAGTCTTTATGTGAGTGCCATTGTTACTTTTCTGTTGCTGTGACAAAAAAACATGACCAAAGGAAATTTATGGAAGGAAGAGTTTATTTTGGCTTATCCAGAGGAGCCCACGATGGTGGAGGTGCAGCAGCGCTGGCAGATGTGAAGGCAGGAGCTGGAAGCAGACAGAGCAGAGAGTGAACTGGAAGTGAGGGGAGGCCATGAACTCTCAAAGCCCACCCTAGTGACATGCTTCCTCCAGTAAGGCTGCATCTCCTAAAAGTTTGGTGACCTCCACAAACCATGCCACCAGCTGGGGACCATGTGTTCAAATGCTTGAGCCTATGGGGCCATTTCTCATTCAAAGCACCACAGTGATCTTATCCCATTTCTCCCATCTCATTTCTCAGTTCTAGCATGCCAGGCCTTTTATTTTTATTTATACATATTAAGTGCTGTTTGAACTTCTTCCTTCGAGGCTTTTGCAGCTGTTCTTCATGTGTTTGCATTTTTTTTCTTTTTTTTTTTGACAGGGTCTCCTTACTCCCAGCCTGCCTAGAACTCACTATGAGGATCCACCTGTCGCTGCTTCCTGATGGCTGGGATTAAAGGCATGCGCCACCATATTTTTTTCATATGGATTGGTTATTTGCTTCATTCATTCTCTACCTAAAAGTCATTTCTTGCAAGTTTCCCCACCTACCTAAAGAGCTTTATTCTTTACCCTTTACCCTTGTTCCCTGCTATACATTTTCTTCATAATTAGTACTACCTGAGTTTTTACTACATACTTTCTAGCTTGTAGATTTGCAGACTTCATTGGAATGTAAGCATTAAGAGGGTAGGACTTTATCCCTAATTCCTAATATTTCTGGTATGTGTAAAAAGTCATAGAACATTTGAATGAATGGATAGTGCCATAATGTGCCAGCTGCATTAAAGAGGTAAGCATAGACAGGCGCAGTGGCACATGCCTGTAGTCCTGGCTATTTGGGAGACTGAGACAGGAGAATCTCATGAGCTCAAGAGTTTAGAGCAAGCCTCAACAATGTGAAAGGAAAACACACACCATTTCTGTGTGGGAGAGTAGAAAATATAGTACTTTAAATCAGGGCCAGCAGTTTATGGCTTGTAGGACTTATCTGGCCTGGCACCCCCATCCTGTTCCTTGGCCCAGCTCTATTCCTATCCTGTTGTTTTTATTGCTTTGTTTTGTAGTCCTCAGGGCTATGAACCCAGGGCCTTGGACACGCTAAAGTGCTTGCCACTTTCCCCACTGTGCTCATTTTTTAACTCTTCATTGTCACATGGTTTCATACTCATTTGCCTCTCATCTGTAGCAGCTGTAGCCAAATAGTAACAGAAGTTGTGACATATTTGTCACGCAAAGCCTAAAGTACTTACCATCTGAACATTTATGTAAAAATTGCTAACCTTTACGCTACACATCTGTTTTTAGCCTTACAATGCTAATATTTAGAAATATGTGTGAATTATGTTTACAAGTTGGCAATGTGGTCCAGGTCTAAAATTTTCACTAACTTGTTCTAAAACTTATGAGATCTATGATGAAAAGAATGGCCATTACGAGCATTTGCTGCTCTTGTTGAGGACTCAAGTTTGGTTCCTAGCACCTACATCAGTGGCTCACAACTGCCTATAACGTCAGCTGTAGGGGAGCCAATGCCCTTTTCTTGCTTTCTTGGGCATGTATGCGCATGTGCACACACATGTAAAGTTAAAATAAATCTTTAAAAAAAAAAAGAGGGAAAAATGACCATTAAGCCTGATGTGTGGTGCATGCCTAGAATCTCAATACTTGAGAGGCAGAGGCAGGTGGATCTCTGAGTTGCACACCAGGGCTACATAGTGAAACCCTGTGTAAGAAAACAAATGACCATGAATGTTTCTGTATTCCTATGTGTTCTAAGTAAAACATAGATATAATTTATATTTGAAAATTTTGTTCATATTCGAAGGATATGTTTTATGTTAATACATTAGTAACTATAATAAAACAACAAAATTTAATGCAATCCTGATTACTGTGTGAAACTGTCAACATATGATAGTTAAACTCTATGGAAAAAATATCAATAACATGATATTAAGACTTATAATACTGAGCTGGACCTGGTTGTGCACACCTTTAATCCCAGCATTGGAGAGGAGGCAGAGGTGTATCTCTGTGAGTTCAAGGCCAACCTAGTGTATATGGTAAATTCCAGGCCTTCTGTGGCTACAGGGAGACCCTGTCTCTAAAAGACCCCCCCACCCCCCACAAAAAAAAGGGGTGGAGAGATGGCTCAGAGGTTAAGAGCACTGCTCTTGCATAGGACCTGGGTTCGGTTCCCAGCACCCACATGGAGGCTAATAACCATCTCTAACTCCAGTTCCAGGGGATCTGATGCCCTGTTCTGACCTACTTGGGCATTGAATGACACAGGTGCACTTCCATACATGCAGGCAGTACACTCATAACACATAACATAAAAAAGTAAAAAGAATTATAATAGTAAAAGACTGTAAGATATCAAATACCTGGTTCTGTCCCTGTTAAAGCCATGCAATTTGAACTCTGGTTGAGAAGTAGATTGAGTCATGAAGTCTTTCTTTTGTAGTCAGTTTTTTAAATAATATATTTATATCTTGGAGTATCTGAAGGATGCTGGTTTAGGTTTTTGTTTGTAATGGAGTTTTGTTGTTGCCAAGGCTGGTCTTGAATTCTTGGGCCCAAGTGAGGCAGTCTCAGCCTGGCTCAGGCTCTGTGGCCCTGGCTCCAGGGGCCTGGACTGTGGTTCCTTTCTCTTGCTCTACTTGAATCCTGTCTCCCATGACTTTTGGCCACTTGTTTGTGAGAGTTCTTACACCTGTGAGTACTGTTACTCTTCCTCTCAGATTCCCTGTTCCTCTTGTAGGGGGAGTGTGGACCAGTACGGCGCCTTCTTGACTTGTAGTAAGCCTCATGGGGGCCCATCTTCTCCCTCTTCTCTGAGTTATTACCAAAGGAGATGCCAGTCCCAGCTGGAGACAGGTAGATGTCTCTGTTAGCATCCCTAAATTCATTGTTGGGGTTTCTGAACACATGAAGAAAGTTGCAGTGCTTTCCTCTGGGGCACTGCTGCATCTCAAACAAACCACAGATTGCAGTTTTCCACTGGGTCACTGGACAGAATTCGCATTGGAGCTGTCGTCCCGCGTACCACCTTCCGTTAAAGAGAGAAAGGGCGGCTTGGCATTCTTCTTCCGACTGGTACTGAACATACACATTGCCCCTCAGATGAAGTTCCAAGTTGCAGCTGACCTTGAACTGGACCACTTTACCCACGTTCTTGAACTCGGGCAGCACGTCGTGGTAGAAGTCCAGGAACTGCTGGTAGGTCTCCTCCTCGGTGTACTCCAGGCTGGCGTCGGAGTCGTAGTCATCCCTTCTGCACTGCTCCATCCCGAACGTGGTGAACATGCTCTTCACAAGAAGGGTGGGGCTCGTCGTGGGAAAGTTGTGTTTCCGGGAGCACCTGTGACCAAATCTGCACGCGCCCGTTTTACTGTAGAACGGACACGGGGCTCGGTGCTTCTCCATCCCCACATCCGAGGGTGGCTCTGGGTTCTGCCAGGCGCCCGCCTGGTCCAGCATCTTCTGCACGGCGTCTTCTTTCTCTCTCAGCCTCTGCTCCTCCTCCTCTTTCTCTTTTCTCTGCTGCTCTTCCCATTCGTCCTTTATCTGCCGCTCTTGCTCTTCCTTCTGTCTCCTCGCCGCCTCTTCCCTTTTCTTCTGGATCCTGAATTCTTCCTGTGCCTTCTCCTCTCTCAGCAACCACTCGTAATGCAGTTTTCGCCGCTCTGCCTCCCGTAGCCTTTCTGCAAACTGTTCTTCCGTGGGAGCGTCGTTGTCCTGCGGGGCCTCCGAGTCTCTCAGCCGGGCCACCTCTTGCCGGAGCCTCCTCCTCTTCTCCTTCTTCAGCGCCGCCCTGTGCTTTCTGTGGCCCAGTTTCCCGGGGACCGTGGCCTCCTGTGCTGCCATCTTGCCGCGTGCTCCGACCTCCCAGCTCTCGTGAGGCTTTTTCCAGTACCCGAGGTCCTCGTGCGAGCCCTGTGCTGTTGAGCTGCCCTGTTCAGCAACAGCGGGCAAGGCTGGTGCTACGGGGCTCAGCTGGTTAGGAAAAAGATCAGAGATGTTAGTGCGTGCGTGTACATGGGTGTGTGTGTGTGTGTGCCTGTGCATGGTGTGTGCGTGTGTACATGGTATGTGCATGTGTATATCGTGTATGGGTGTGTCTGGGTTCGTGCATGTGTGTACATGTTGTGTGTGGGTTCGTGCATGTGTGTACAGGTGTGTGCATGTGTGTACATGGCGTGTGGGGGTGCACACATGTGTGTACACAGGTACGTGTGTAGACAATCTTTGGGAGGCTGCTCCCCTTCCACCCTGGGTTCTGGGAATCCCATTCCGGTCATCCGGCTTGCCCCGCTTAGTGCTTTTACCCAGTGGTCCCCCCTCCCCCAGGGAGGGTCAGTGATCCTCATGTCCCCACCAGGTCAGATCACAAGCCTGTGGCCCCCACAAACCCTGCCTTCCCACAAGCCCTTGAGCCTTGCCTATAACGCGCCGTTGGCACCTGGTGGCTGGCAACCGCGGCAGTAGCTGCTGCACCTGCGCACACTAGGGCACTCCTTACCGGAACTCTAACCACCTCTCCTGCCCCTATTCGCCTGCGCCTCCATGCTGGACTTTCTACCTTTTAAAAATATATTTATTCATTTGTCATTTATGTGTATGAGTGTTTTGCCTGCTTGTGCGTTAGTGCACCTGTGTCATGCAATGCCCGAAAAGACCAGAAGAGGGAGTTGGATTCCGTGGAACTGGAGTTAGGACGGTTTTTTTTTTAGCCACCATATGGGTGCTGGAAACCAAACGCGGTTCTCTACCAAACTGAGCCGTCCCCCCAGCCCCCAGTACCACAATCTTTTTTAAAAAAGATTTTTAAAATTTATTTTATGCGTATGTGTTTCACTTGCATGTTTGTAAGTATGCATCCGTGAAGGCGGGAAGAAGGCATCGAATTGCCTGGAACTAGAATTACAGATGGTCGTTAGCCACCATGTGGGTGCTGGGAATCGAACCCAGGTCCTGTTCAAGAGCAGCAAGTGTTAATTGCCGAGACATCTCCCCAGCCCCGTCCAGGACCTCATTCTTGTAAAAAATTCTGAATATTTCTACGTTTTAAAATTCATTTTAATGATAAAAAATTCTGAATAAAAAATAAACATTGAGTCCGGGCGTGGTAGCGCATGCCTTTAATCTCAGCACTCGGGAGGCAGAGGCAGGCGGATGTCTGTTCAAGGCCAGCCTGGTCTACATAATGCGTTCCAGGACAGCTGGGGCTACAGGGAGACCCTTTATCAAAAAGACCGAAAAAAAAAAAATTGAATGTATTTTGCTCTTTACAAAAGGTTTTGTTTTGCATTTATAAAGTAGAGAGACTTTACTAAGTTTTTAAAAATTGCTTATTTATGTATTTTGGATAGCGTAAGACATTAATTGGCATATACATATATATACAAATATGTGGGTTTAGCCGGTTGTGGTGGCCACATGCCTTTAGTCCCAGCGCACACAGGAGGCAGAGGCAGGCGAATTTCTCTGAGTTCAAGGCCAGCTGGGGCTACAGGGAGACCCTGTCTCAAAAAGACCAAAAAAAAAAAAAAACCAAAAAAAAATTGACTTTGTATTTTCAAAAAACAAAACACAAAACAACCCCCCCCCCCCAATATGTGGGTTTACTTATTTTTATTTGAGTCAGGGTCTCACCCTTTTGCCAAGAGCTCACTGTGGCCTGGAACTCACTATGTAGCTTAGGTTTCCTGGAACTTGCAGTGATTCTTCTGCATCTGCCTCCTTAATGCTGGTAAATACTTGGTTTTTATTAAAGGATTTGGGGAACATAAATAAAAGAGGTCGTACTTTAAATTTTAGCTGTAGTTCTGTTTTTCTACTGCAGGTGGCAGTAAAACATTGGCTTGCTAATGACACTGGTAAAATATGCTAGAATCCACAAATAATGTTTAAATGTTTTCTTTTTCTGGAATGTTCTAGTTGGAAAAATGCTTAAAAGCTGGCCACTTAAGAATTTCTTATAAAAAAAAATTGACTTTGTATTTTGAAGTTAGAAATACCATTTTCTAGTGGTCAGAGGATAACTTGCAGGGAGTCAAATTCACTCCTGACACCTTGTAACAGGTTCTGGGGATTAAACTCAAGTTGTCAGACTTGGTGGCAAGTGCCTTTACCAGCTGAACCATCTCACAAGCCCTACAGAGTGTTTTAAATAGATTCAAGTGACTTGCAGTGAGGGGACTTAAGGTGGTTTTTTTTTTTTTTTTTTTTTTCTCTATATTTTAGGGCAAAACCTAATTATTCTTTTTTTCTTTTTAAGCTTTTTTCATACTTAAAAAATTAATTTTGTCAGGTGTGATGGTGCACATCTTTAATCCCAACGCTTGGGAGGCAGAGGCAGGCAGAGCTCTGTGAGTTTGAGCGAATGTGTACATAGTGAGTGTATACATACTCAGTTCTAGGCCATCTGGGACTATAGGGAGACCATATCTCAAAAATACAAAGAAAAACCCAAATTAATTTGTTAGGTTAGTATAGAAAGAGTTCTCCTTTTCTTAAAACAACTATTCTGGGCCTGGAAGCTTGATTCAGGTTTAAGAGTTCCTGGGTAAGGAGATTGATTTTAAAGGAAATGAACATCTTTGATGTATGTATTAAATATTTACTAAGCTCTAGGTGTTATACCTGTCCTGTACATAAAGTGAATGTTAGAGTCCCTTGTCTTAGAAGTTCTTACAAAATAAATGCCATAGGAAAAGTCTAAATAATGTGCTCTGGCGGACTGGAT